CAATAATACAAAACAAAATTTTCCAATTTATTGAACGCTAACAGCCAACTCATACTATATACAGTACACTGCAGTTTTAAAACAACCAATGAACGACAATTTTTTTTTCCCATACATACCCCTTAAACATACAACAACAAATATCAATCATTTGGAAAAAAACCCAAATGTACTACTACTAAAATGTTGCATACAAACAGGGTAAATTATATGAAAGTATACAGGAATATTGAAATATTTTCTTGCAGCCTTTTTAACTTTCAGTTGTTTCTTTTATTTTTGGTTACACTATTTTTAATTTTATTGATCAGCTCTAGTATCTCATTTAGTATTTGTGTGTGCCTATATGGCATTAAAAACAAATTTGCGTTTAACAAATTTTAGTTTTTATTTCGTAAAATCAGTCTCTCTCTCGCTTTACTAACCATGACTATGTCCAGGGGGTTAACAGTTAATGGAATTGAAAAAAAGTTTCAAAACCTAGCAAGTAATTAGCACTTGTAATAGTAATTTAAGATAATTAGTACAACGAAAATTTTTTTGAATATAAAGCTTTAAAGCTTTTTAACAAGAAATTAGAGACAAAAGCCCAAAAGTATGCTTTCGTATTTAACATTTAAGCGCTAAAAAAAGTATACAATACATATTTAAATTAACTCTTTAATATTTGTAGTAGTTTCCTCACAAACTATTCCAACATCCAAAAGTATGTAAATTTGAGTTTTTGGGGAAAGTGTGTGAGAAAAATTATTTTCTATAGAGTTTCCAGGAGAGAGTGAGTTTCACACAAGAGAGGCAAAATTTTCTATAGAAAAAGTTAGTTAATTAATTAGTTAGTTAGTTGGTTGGTTGGTTGGTTGGTTGGTTAGTTAGTTAGTTAGTTAGTTAGTTAGTTAGTTAGTTAGTTAGTTAGTTAGTTAGTTAGTTAGTTAGTTAGTTAGTTAGTTGTAGTTGTTAGTTAGTAGTTATAGTTAGTTAGTTAGTTAGTTAGTTAGTTAGTTAGTTAGTTAGTTAGTTAGTAGTTAGTTAGTTAGTTAGTTAGTTAGTTAGTTAGTTAGTTAGTTAGTTAGTTAGTAGTTAGTTAGTTAGTAGTTAGTTAGTTAGTAGTTAGTTAGTTAGTTAGTTAGTTAGTTAGTTAGTTAGTTAGTTAGTTAGTTAGTTAGTTAGTTAGTTAGTTAGTTAGTTAGTTAGTTAGTTAGTTAGTTAGTTAGTTAGTTAGTAGTTAGTTAGTTAGTTAGTTAGTTAGTTAGTTAGTTAGTTAGTTAGTTAGTTAGTTAGTTAGTTAGTTAGTTAGTTAGTTAGTTAGTTAGTTAGTAGTTAGTTAGTTAGTTCGTTAGTTAGTTAGTTAGTTAGTTAGTTAGTTAGTTAGTTAGTTAGTTAGTTAGTTAGTTAGTTAGTTAGTAGTTAGTTAGTTAGTTAGTTAGTTAGTTAGTTAGTTAGTTAGTTAGTTAGTTAGTTAGTTAGTTAGTTAGTTAGTTAGTTAGTTAGTTAGTTAGTTAGTAGTTAGTTAGTTAGTAGTTAGTTAGTTAGTTAGTTAGTTAGTGTAGTTAGTTAGTTAGTTAGTTAGTTAGTTAGTTAGTTAGTTAGTTAGTTAGTTAGTTAGTTAGTTAGTTAGTTAGTTAGTTAGTTAGTTAGTTAGTTAGTTAGTTAGTTAGTTAGTTAGTTAGTTAGTTAGTTAGTTAGTTAGTTAGTTAGTTAGTTAGTTAGTTAGTTAGTAGTTAGTTAGTTAGTTAGTAGTTAGTTAGTTAGTTAGTTAGTTAGTTAGTTAGTTAGTTAGTTAGTTAGTTAGTTAGTTAGTTAGTTAGTTAGTTAGTTAGTTAGTTAGTTAGTTAGTTAGTTAGTTAGTTAGTTAGTTAGTTAGTTAGTTAGTTAGTTAGTTAGTTAGTTAGTTAGTTGGTTAGTTAGTTAGTTAGTTAGTTAGTTAGTTAGTTAGTTAGTTAGTTAGTTAGTTAGTTAGTTAGTTAGTTAGTTAGTTAGTTAGTTAGTTAATTAATTAGTTAATTAGTTAATGAGTTTGAAAGGAGGATGTATATATGTACAGCAAATCCGATGAATTACACAGGTGGGAATCGAACCCACCACCTCTATAGAAAATATAAGTCTCTTAAAAGATTCTCTTTAAAGAGAGACAAATTTTTCTTTAGAAAATATTAGTCTCTTAAAAGAGAGAAGAAGTGAGCCTTACAAAAGGAAAGGGAATTTGTATTAATTTTTGTATCTTCTGCTTTTGATTTCTTTTATAAATTGTTAATTAATTAAAACCATTACTCTATGTTTTTGCCCTAAAATAGGCTTTAATATTTCATAATTAAACCATTTACAGCACCAGCAATTTAAATCAATTTCTTAATCCCCATACCACTTCCAATACAATTTTATGCAATATTTTGTTTCAATAAACTGTTGCAAAAATGTTTGTGTTGGAATAGAGTTTGACTTTCTAACTAATATATTTTACTTTATATTTCAAAGTAATTAAAACTGAAAAACCATTAAAATCAAATACAAATACACCACCACAAACATTTTGCAATATCACTTAACTATAAAAGGCAGAGGGTTAGGATACTCCCCCTTCCCGCGCTCTAACACTCTTCCAAACATTTGTATATATTACAGTGACTTTATGCCCATAGTGTTGTTTGGCGGATGTAAGTGTAAAAGCGAACGATAGTGTGTGTTTTAGGCATGAGTATGTTTACAGCATTTCAATAATAATCAATGAAGAGTAATGTTTACCAATGGGAGACCAAACATGAGGCACTAAAGCATCAACACTAACGTCAACAACAATTTCGTAAAACCAAAATATATACACTAATCATCATATACATACACACAAAACCCAGAACAGCTAACCAGCAACCAACTAAAAGACCGAAAGAGCCAACGTATGACCAAACAATATTGCAACAACCAAGAATATTTTACTGTATAAAACAGTCAACTACAATTCGTAGTAAACGACATCAGTTAAAAGCGTCAACAGCAGCAGCACCAAACAGCATCAGCTTTTAGCATACAGTCCAGCCAGCAACAAAATTTAATGACGCTTTTACTACAAACTTTAGCTAGAAGCTGTTGTTGTCCTACATCTACATAAGAATACAAACAAATACACTTATACTGAAGCACACACATTCAAGTAATTTCGATATGACTCTGTCATGTTTGTAATTCAATTATGTTAATGATTGGACAACATTTAACGTATTTACATTTAATGCATAATGAATAAGTACTCATAATGTTCTTTAAGCACACACAAACACTTACACATAGTTGAAATGCAGTATTGTCCACACCACCATATTTAAAACAGTCAGCAACATCCCCATCATCATCATTTTCCAGCCAACTAAGGCCGTTTCTCTTTTACCAAAATCACTCAGTCAGCCATCAGTAACTAACCGAAAAAAAAAAGAAATCATTTTATATATTTTTACAAAATCAGCAAAATCTATAAACGTATGCAGAAAATTATTTTTTAAAAACGTGGATAAATGGTAGTGCAACTGGGGGAAAAAACACACACATACACACACACTTAACATTATGTGGCAAAGTGACATTGCCCTGACATTGATTAAAATTTAATTGAAAATAAAAATTGTTTGCAACTTATGATCGAATAACAGCTAAAAGGGAAATGTAAATATATTGAATATTCCGTTTAAACATAAAATCTATAGCGAAACACATACATAAAGTAAATTAAGCAGAAAAACTGTTGGGTAATTTGTATCTCGTTGAAACAAAGAGTAAATGTTGAAATACAAATTGTTTTAAAGCATACTTTTTGGGTGTTGAGATAGAACATTAAAGTTAAAACATATTCTCTAAACAGAGACAGAATTCTATAGAAAATGTGAGTCTTTCGAAAGAGAATAACAATTTTCTATAGAAAATGTGTCTCTCAGAAGGACAAAATTTTCCATGGAGTCTCTCAAAAGAGAGAAAAATTGTGAGTCTCTCAAGAAAGACAAAGACAAATTTTCTATAGAAAATGTGAATCTCACAAAAAATGTGAGTCTCTTAAAAGGGAGACAAAATTTTCTATAGAAAATGAGAGTCTCTTAAAAGAGAGACAAACTTTTCTATAGAATATATGAGTCTCTTAAAAGATAGACAACATATTCTATTGAAAATTTGAGTCTCTTAAAAGAGAGACAAAATATTCTATAGAAAATGTAAGTCTCCCAAAAGAGAGACAAAATTTTCTATAGAAAATGTGAGTCTGTTAAAAGAGAAATTTTCTCTAAAAATGTAATCTCTGAAATGTGAGACAAAATTTTCTCTAAAAAATGTGTGTATCCCAAAAGAGAGACAACATTTTTCAAAGAAAATATGAGTCTCCCAAAAGAGAGACAATATTTTCTCTAAAAAATGTAAGTGTCTTAAAAGAGAGACAAACTTTTTTATAGAAAATGTGAGTCTTCCAAAAGAGAGACACAATTTTCTATAGAAAATATTAGTCCCTCAAAAGAGACACAAAATTTTCTATATAAAATTGAGTCTCTCAGAATGGAGGCAATGTTTTACTATTGTAAATGTGAGTCTCCAACTTCCACTTTATCTCATTTTAAATAATTCCATATCCTGCTACTCAATAGTTGTCCCTTTTCTTTATATGCACATCATTAATTTGCTAGAATTTTAAAGCATACCTAAAGGAGCATATAAATAAAACTAAATTTAACTCTTTCCTTTTTGCTTGTGTCATTTATTATAAACACCAGAAACCCCGTAAATTTGCCAACATCATTGTTAATAAATTATTCAAGGATAAAGGATAATAACATAAACTACCACAACAGCAACGACAATAACAACAACATCGAACATAAAATCACAAACAAATCATGTCGTAACAATCAATTTTATTTTAACAACCCAATATTAACTTTGTTTTTTTTTGCTTACAACTTTAAATAGATTAGTTTCGAAGAAAACCTTTGACTTTAGAAAAATTTATAAAATTTTCTTTCTTTTTCTTTTAGATGAACCGCGGTTTACAGCTCAAGCCAGCTGATAGTGAAGGCCGCAGCGGTAAGTTTGGATTTTTATTTGCAATTTAATTATTTTCTAACATTTTTAACTCTAGTTTTTAAAAATTAATTGTTTTTTTTTTTTAATGGTATTAAAAATTTTAGTACTTTAACCTTGAATTAAACAAAACAATTTATAGAAATTTAAGTTTCTTTAAGTGTGAAAGTGCCTTTTCTTTATAAATGTGATTAATTTTTATTAAGTGTCTAAAATGATAACGGAAATAATAGGTTTTTATAAAAAAATTCTAGAAATTTTTGAAAATATTGAAAATGTTGCAAAAAACACATTTCAAAATATTAAAAAAATTATAAAAAAAGTTAGAGGTTTGAATATATCAAAAAAAAAACTTGATTTATTGCCTACTTGTGAGGGTACGAGTGAACCCATAAAGTAGGCAACACTTTTTTACTTTGTTAGCAATAAATATTGCCATGACTTAACAGAAAATCATAAGAACTTTGTTTAAAACAGCAATATTTGACAATATTTTGAAAAAGCCTTTAAGTAGGCCATACTTTCTCTTAGAAAAATTACAATATTTAAAGTCTTTTTTAAGGGTTTAAACGAAAATCTTAGATTTATAATTAAATCTTTTAATAAATATAATTTTATTGCAGATTTATAAAAATTTTTAGGGCTATTTTTTAAATAAAATAGATTTTGCCTGAAAGTAGGCAACACTTTTTGTTTTATTATAAATAAATAATAATTGATGTCTACTTTTATGATATAACCGAAAACTGTCTTGGAAACAGCGATTTTTAAAATGTTTTTTTTTTTTTTCAAAATCCTATAAACACCCACAATTTTGAGATTAAAAACTTACTTTTTAAAGTCTACTTTTAGGCGTTTTCCTCTTTTTATTTAATACAACCAACTAGTGTTAATTAGTTTTGAACTTTTTAACCTTTAATTCCTTCATTAAATTCTCTTAAATGACCTTTACACTTTAACAAAGGTTACAGCTTGAAACTAAAATTGAAACTCATTCCTATTGCTACTTATCGAATGCCACATAGAACATTTGGCATTTAGTGTTGCAAGTAAAGAAACCCTTCTTATCTAAAACTAAAAGCTGATGCTATTTAGGAACTTATCTTTTTTATATTTCTTAGCTGCTGTTTCATCAGCAGTTGTCGTCTACGTCGTCATCATTGCAATTTAAAGTTTGTGTTTTTTAATCCTTAAAGGAATTTAATTTGCCTCTTTGTTAGAGTGTATGAGTATAAGATTTCTTTGCTTTCTTTTATATGTTTCTTATTCATTTAGCCAAATGAAATTAAAGCTTAAAAAGTTTTTTCCTTCATTTTTTTCTTCTTGCTTTAACAACGTTAAGATTTCAAATTTCCAAATTGTTTTTTGGCTGCTTTTCGTCTTTTTTTTCTTAGTAGTAGTAGTTTTTGTAGATTTCCCTTGCTGTTGCAGTTTTATTGTTAAAAGCAAAAAAAAAAAAAAAATAAGGCTTTATGGCAAAAGTCTTTTGGCTTATCTTAAGCAATTTGCTAAAAAGTTGTTGCATTATACGTATACAAACTCTTAGTAAGAATGTAAACTGCAAAATGGTTTGTATGTTTATGTATGAAATTTAAGTTTGTATTTTCTTCTTCTATTTCTTTTATTTTCTTTGGTATTAAACAAGTCTGTAAATTTCTTAGTATGTAGTAGTAGTTGCTGTCTTTAAGTTAGGACATAGAGCTACATTTGTATATGTTGCTGTTAAATGCCAATGTGAAAATGCAATTATTGTGACAAGTTTAATTGCTTGTGGTTAAAGCGGTATGGTTTCTTTAACTCTAACTCTTTTTTGGCTTTTGAGTTGCCTTTTTTTGGCAAAAAGAAGAGAGTTAAAATAAAATAAGAAAAAGGAATATTACCACTTATTTTGATCTAAGAAAGAAAATGTCCTTAAAATGTTGTCTTTTTCAAATGAGTTCATTTTTTGAAAAGTCTGCTCTGGCAGCAGCAATGACTTGTTTTTCTTATTAAATTTTTCTATTTTGTAATAATTAAGTCTTAGATATTTAAAATGAAGATGTTTAATATAATAAAATAAAAATTCTTTTTAAAGAAAATCTTGTTCTAGTTACTATTTAATAGTTTCTGCTAACTATTACCCTTTGGAAACTGAAATCTAGATATTTGAAGCCTACTTTAGGGCATGAACAATATCAGAAAGTATTATTTCCTGCAATATTTAATTATCTATTATATTTATTCAAAACCAACGTAGTTTCTCGAATTTTAGCAATTTATAGTATACCTTTAGGAGCGCTATAGTTTCTAAAGTCTACTTTTGAGCTTAATCTTTCAATATTTAATAATCTACTTAAATTAAACAATTTGTAACCTAAAGTTTGTAAAAACTCTATAGTTTCCTAATGTTTAACCTTTATTAAAAAATATAGCATACTTTTAGGAATATTATACTTTCTGAAGACAACCTTTGACCATAATCAATAGCAGAAAGTACTGCTTACTACAATATTATCTATTAAATAAATATATAAAGATGAATTTACACAACAAGTTCTAAAACTATTACGGAATCTTACCAAATTTTAATATACATAGCATACTTTTAAGCTTTTAAACACAAAAATAGTTTCTGTAAGCAATTTGTAAAGAAGGCACATGTGTTTGAACACTTTACTCTTACTTGTGAGTTTTTTTTTTTAATTTTAGCTATTGTAGCATAATTATAGGATTTTCATTATTTCATAAAGTGTAGCATACTCTTAGGATTAAAATGCAGAAAAATGTAGCATGCATCAGGGACTTAAATGATAATTATTCACAAATCTGTAGCCCAGATAAAGGCGACAACGGTAATCTATCAAAAAATAGTATATACACATGCAAACAAATAAACAGTTAACGAAATTTTCAGATTTCTATTAGTATAAAAAGTGTAGCATACGTTTAGGATTCTAAACATAAAGCTGTAAACAGAATTTAAAGCATACTTTTCAGCTTTAAAATAATTTATGCAACTAAAACCTATTTCTATAACACATTTCTTAATCTAATGCTCACTCAAAAAAAAATACTATTGTTCTAAATATTTCTTATAACATTCCTTCTTCATTCCATTATAAATATATTAACTTCATATATGTTGTAATTTAAGCGTTGAAAGCTTTATAATAGAAACAAAAAGCTAGTTCATCAATTCTAACTTAAATTTAGGTTTTTTTTCTTCCAACTTAATGTTTTGTTTTCTTATCATCTAACAAACACATTATATACTCCAAGTCCAGGCACATTTATATAAACTTTAGACATTAACACACACACACACCCCCCCCTCTACCTGAAACCTGCCCCTAAAAATCTACTATTCTTCAGCAATCTTATTTTCTAATGTTAAGAATTATATCTTACCTTTATGGACACGTGTGTGTATGTGTGTTAGTCTTAAACATATTATTTTTGTTTATTCCTCTACATATTTTTCATCATTATAAATCTATTTTTTTCCCTCAAAGAACACGACAAAAAAAAAAACAAGTTCAATCTCCTGCTTTTATTTTAGTTTTTCCTCTAAAAACATATATTCTTATTATAATATAATAAGATATTTTTTTCCTTTCTTTCTTATAAAACATACATGTTTTTATATTTTTCCTTACAACGCTTACATTGTTGTTTGCTGCTGCTGCTTTTTTTTTTGTCGACTACAAAACAATAATGTGTAATTTGTTCTTGTCTTTAGTTTGACGTTTTAGTAAGGTTGTTGTCACGTTTACATTTCGTGATTTTCCTTACAGCTTTTCAGTCATATTGTTACAGGAACATGAAGAAAAAAAAAACTCCAATGTATTCTGGGGGAGTCAACAAGATTGAATTCAAATGTGTAAAGAAAGAAAAAAAAAGTGAATTCATTTTAACATGCACGCTAGTAGAGAAAATACACATTTTTAAATTCATTTAGCATGAAATTAAAATTAAATGATGCCTAAATTGCACGTTTCAGTTGATAAAGTTAAAAAGAGAGAGAGAGAGTGAGCAAAAAAAAATTAACGGTTTTTATTAAGAAATGCATTTACAGCTTGTTTTTCTAAAATGAAAATTTGTCTTCGTTCTTAAAAATAACGAACGAAATTGGCTTTACGTTTTTGTAACGAAAAAATAAATTTTCATGTGAGTGGCAACGAAAGAGCTTTATTTTTCCATATATTTTTGGTTTTTAGAAAATGAATTCGTTCGTAATAAACGAAAGAAATGTCAGAAATAGACGATAGGCAAAAGCCTTTCGTTTGCCCAAAAAACAACGAAAATTTTACCAAAATACGTAATAATATGTGGCCATTTGAACCAGAATGTAATTCGCAATACAAACCTTTAAATTTCTTGAGACATTGCATACAATTTTCATGTTGTTTTTAAAAAAAAACATTTTTTCATAATTTCAATTTTTTTCTAAAATTATTTTATTTTTGTTTATTTTTTAGGGTTAACACCAAACACCTTATTACTACATGAAAAAATATTTAAAAATTCAGAAATGAAATACATAGGCAATAATGTTCTGTTACGATAGAAAAAGCTCATTTCATTTTAGACATTTTTAAACGAAAACTTTCAAATGTTTTATAAAAACCTAATTTTAAACTTGATCGTAATAAAATGAAATGTTCGTGTGAGAACTAAATTGTTTTAGAAAAACAGGCTGTTAGAGTTTTGTTACAATCCTTAAAATATGCTTTATTTTTTTTTAACTTTTTATAAGCTGTAATGAGAGGAACTAAATTAATTTAATTTTGTTAAGAGGGTTTCTTAACTTGAATGCTTTATATTTAGACAAAAGGAAGGATTTAAAGGGGTTTTAATTATTTTTTTATCCTTAAAATAGGCAATACATTTTTCAAAAATTATTTTAAAGATCTAATTGATTATAAAACGTTCATATTTTCAATAAGTTATAGAAATATTGTATGATTTTTACGATTTCTTTATATATTGCTTTATTTTTAGCCTTAAGATATGCAACTCTTCTTTAAATACTTCCAAAAGTCTTACTACAATTAATTTAAGATGCAATGATACAATATTTATTATAAAAGTATATATTTTTGCACGATTTTTATAACAATTTCTTCAAATGCTGCATTTTTCATCCCTAAGGTAGGCAACACTTTTTAAAAAAATATCTCATAATGATATTGTAATGAAGAATTTGCTATTAATGAATTTGCA